TGTTACTAGTACGTTGGTCTGACTACACCAAATCCATTAAATAGCGATTATCATATCGCTATTTCGCCACTGACACACAAATCGAGACATTTGCGGAATATTACAATACCCAGTATGCTGAGTCTACTTCTTCATGACTCACTTCCACAGAGCTGATGTTGTATGCAACATCTGTCTGTGCATATGTGCACTTACATATAATTCGAAATATAATATGTATTTACACTTTTGTTACTAGCATCATTCCAGTCTAGACATAAGAAGACTACTGTAATTTTAAAGTAATACATTTTTTTAATTTTTAATATTTTTATCTTAGATAGTCTTTTTATCTTAGTAGATCTTTTTTATAATAGATAGATTAATACATAAATAAATATTTTCTATATAGATATTGTAATTGTTTACCTTCTCTTACAATTTTTTTTTAAGGGGGGAAAATCATCGAATGACTGCTCCCGCTTGGGTGAGGCGGGAGGGAGTGTCAGACTTACTGACTAAAAATCACACCATTCCTTCTCCTGCACGTCGAGCCGGAGCCCCGGTTACTTTAGGTTCTCCGCGACACCTTCTCTTACAATATTACTATTATACTTGATGTTTGTTTATTTTAATTTGTTTCCTTTACAGGTAATACTCACCACCTCTGATGAATATTGTAGATAAAATAATATTTAAAGATAGTGGCCAACTATATGTAAATTAAAATGAGAAGATGAATCATATACCAAATGAAAACTCATGCAGAAGAGCATTTAACACTATGCAAGAGGATACAAGAAATTAGAACTTTCTTTTAACAATAGTAACCAAGACTTTAATTGACCTTTTTTTACCAAACAATTGTCTGTCACTAAACAACAAGACACTTACAAAATATGACAATAAAACTGACACAGAAACCTGATCATTCTGTTCAGTCAAATAATTAAATTGACGAAACTTTATTTATACAAACGAATATGTTTCCAAAATCAATTATTCTATTTTCTCATCCAACTTCACGAATGAGCAGAATATTCATATTGTACAGGGACTGACCAACTTCAGAATATACAAAAGCCGAGACAATATCTTGGATGAACCAGACCCGACCAACAAAAATTTAGAATTTGGATTTGACCACGCCTGTGATCCTGTCAACAATCTAGCTAGATTGATCAGCTGCTCCTCAAGATACAGATGAATGATGGATCATGAGGAACGAATTATATGTAGCTGTAACCAAGCCACTAGTCCTTACTGTGCTAATCGGGTTGCCATTCATTTAAGAGATTTACTATTTCAACAGCAGCGCTCTCAGCATTAATTCTTCTCATACTGTTCAGTTGTTCTGTCACATGCTTCCCAAAGAACCAGTAGTTTTGTTCCAGCAATGGATCAGATGCAAGAGGCTTCATAGCCAACAGAAGGTCATCGATTACTTGTTTACATTTAGTTTTTCTACTTGATTTATGAGGTATTCTTATTTTGTGCCGAGGTCTGTCTGTTCGTTGGCTTCGCTGACGTATATTGAGAACCATTTCGTTCTCAAATTCAGGTTGTTGTTCCTCTTTAACATTTATGTTCTCCGTCAACTGTTTCATTTCACTGGATGTCGGCTCATAGAACTGAAAACAAAAAGAATAACATAAATCTTGATATCTACTTATGATAGTTATTGTCCTGGAAGTAAATGGTACTACTAAACATGAATTATCCCCCAATCCTCAAGCCTAGTAACTGGTAATAATGGTGCTCACTATTTATTCAGTGGATTTTACACAGAATGAATAAAAGTTAGCCCATTAGGGTAAGTATAACAGGAAAACTTGTTTAATAAGGGAATGAGAAAGTATAGTCAAAACTGTTTATGGTGACATCATTTAGAATAACATACCGGTTAAATTGACCAAAGTCAGAGTTCCTGGTTGAATGCTATATGGCCGCCTTATCAAAAAATTAACAAACAAAGTTTAGGGTTTCTTTGTATCTTAGAAACAATGCATGTTCTGCCATAGCCTCACAGGAACACAAACAGGAAAATTAAGAAAAAACAATTAATGCAGTGCTAATTTGATTGAGTCTCAATGCTGTTAGTCTATTATGAAAGATTGTTCTTTTTAATGAACAGTTCCACAAGCAGGGAATTGTGACGAAGCGCTGATTAAAATCCAATGTAAATTATAAAATGTGTATGCATGGCAAAAGTTTTCCAAACAAACTAAATTAACAGATTTTATGCATACAAAAATGATGGAAAAATTATATTGTTCTTTTGTAGTTTCAATATTTAAAAAAAAAATCTTACTAACCTCTATGGGTGTATCACTTGTCCGAAATAAACATTATCATTATTTTATTTTATTAATTTATATTGAAATGGTTAGTGTTTGTATTGAAGTAAACGAATTGTGGTTTAATTTTCTACATGAATGAACATAATATTTTTCCTATTAATACCTTTCACCGGTTACAACTAAATATAAGTAGTTGCTTCGACTTTGTTGTAACAGCATTTGATTGTATTCACAATCACTGTCTACCTACATAAATAAACTAGCTTGCCGATAAATATAGTCACATAATTTTCTTGAAGTTTTACTATTGCAGTATTTACAGATAACCTCATGAATATTTTAAATAAATACTGTAAAAACATCTACTAACCTCAAAATTTCCATCTTCTTTCTTGCAAACGTCTTTGAGAAACTGTAATGGCTTCCACAGCGGCCAGCATGGGACATATATGTCCGAAGCAGTTTTTGCTTTAAGCTTGGATCGTTCAACTCTTCTATGGTTGTGGTTGAAGGTACTCCTAATGTTCACCCAGCGATCTCTAACAGAACGAGCTGAAAACAAGAAACACAATGTCATTGCGTGTTTCAATGTGGGTAGATTGTTAGAAATAAGTACTTTCTATTGGATATTGTTTGTAAGCATTCTGTGTTCCACTTACTACTATGAAAGTAAAGCAAATATTATGAACCTAGCCTAATCTTAACCGTGGAGAAATTATAAGACAGACCATTGCACCCTTAAGATTATACAGATACTCCAAATTCTAATTATCTGGCAGATTTTTATTAGAAACAAACTGGCTTTCTGGCCGTGGTGTCGCATGCGTGGTGAAGGATGTTATTATACAAATTTGAACCTTATGCTTTTAGAAACTATCTAACATCAATTCGGACAAACATCAGAAAGCGACTGTTTTAACACTTTGTAGTAGGTATTGAGAAAATTATAATGGCTGTGGGTATGGAAATTCTAACAAATACATGTCATAATCTATACCAGTCAATGAAAACGCCCATAACGATTCGACGAGATGTTGAATTTTTTTATGCCCATTTCTATTATTTGAAATAACCTGTATGATAATGTATCATTCCACCACACAGCGAGAATATCTAAGTATAAATCTAAAATATAAATAAAAAAAATGTACCTGTAAATCCACGTCCTAATATCGCTGCAAATTCAGCGTAAGCTTTGTATTTTTGTTGAATATGATGATTCGTGTTCCCAGCAGGCCGCCATATGTAATCTCTTTGGCGAACAAAATCAATCAAATCTAATTCCAGTTTTCGTGTCCAGTAACACGGTTTGCGAGGCATTTTTTATAATTAATTCGAATAAAAATAGATTATTTAACTAATGAATATGTTATTTCCACTTTAAAAATTGACTATAGGTAATATTTTTATTTTTGCCACCGCAATCGTTTTCTTCCTTTTGTTGATTCACATTTTGTCTTTGGACTTTGACATTGACAGAGTATTCAATTATTGCCATTTGTCAGTTCAGTCAGTGACAGTTTGTAACTCATAGACAATACAGAGAAATCAGTGATGAGGGAATTGTACACTAACACAATATTTTCTACTCAAGGAATCTAAGGCACAGATCCGTTTAAAGTGTCACTCTTACATTTGAGCTAGCAAAAATGGGGATACAAACTCATGAAAATCTTTATCCATAAGTGTAAAATAAAAACAATCCATATTTATCCAAAGTAAATTACTTCTCAAAATAATAGGCCTGCTAGTCAACATTGATTACAAAATTCTTCGCCAAGTCGAAATTTTATTATTTTACATTAATGATTCTATTGTGCAACTTTTTTCACCATCATTATTACATACGTACAATATTGATAATTTTAATAGTGATAAGTTGCAAATCTTTCAAAATAGAGATAAAATATTTACCAAGCGATTTATATGGCCAGATATTATTATGATCATTTGTTAACATTAATGTAGCTACGGCTAGTGCGGCCTTTAACCCATCTAAAAAATAATAATTAGAATGTAGATTGTACAAGTTGACATTATTGTAGCTACGGCTAGTGTGGCCTTTATTCCATTTAAAAAAAATATTGTAAAAAACAATTTAATTGCATTCTAGCATTAAAAATATGATAGTCCCAAAATTACCCCATAATACTATTACAATAAATCGACGATGTGTAAAATTATATATATTAATTATCAACAGCGCGTTTTTAAACGATTAAGTAAAAACACCCTCTAGCGCAAAACAGTGATAGTTTTATTAAGATAACGTGTAGCAATAATTCACAATTGTAACAATAGATGACGCTACTCTTCAAAAATATCGAAGAGTTAAGAACGCTTCTCTTTTTGGTACTGTTTTGTTTTTTTAATAAGTCATAACATTAAAAAGCGAGTATTTTTTAGTATTCGATCAATAGTTATTTAAGACCGGTAGTCGGGTTAGTCGGCCGTAACTTGATAGTTTTAACTTGGTTTTTAGTGAAGTTGACACTATTCTACAATTTTGTAACTTTACAACCGAGTGTCGTAATCCTAATTAATACTTCCAGCGTAGATTATCACCATAATCGTCAACAGCCCGGGAGGATCCACTGCTGCATTATGTAGATACTTTACATACATACCTAGGTCATCTATTGTATAGTTATCTAGCATGATCTACTATTATTAAACACGAGTTAGGAGGAACCAGTGACCAAAAAGTCTGTCACTCACTTGACCACTTGACTCAACACATCTAATTATGAAATATCTATATTTATTTACTCGTTGAAGTCGAAGAATAATTAATATAACATCATAATATCTTTTAAATTGAATATCTACTGATACATACTTAAGCAAGAAGACAGTTCAATAATCTGTTGAAAGGCTAACGGAAAAATTAGTACAATGTACTTTTTTGTTGTTCCCGGGTTCCCGGTTACAATGTGTACTTGTATTAAGCCAACTGAACCATTCATTTTACAAGCCTGCCATTCGCCTTTATCAGAATCTTTTGACTCCTTGCTCAGCAGTCAGTAGTGTGTAGACTTAACCAATAAGGGTGAGAGTCACGGAGTGCCATATTTTACTAAAAAGCCAAAATAGCTCCCTTAAGCCAAAGTTTACATTTAACAGATTATATACAGAACAGGCTTTTACCAACGGCATCGCCCGCGTTCCTGTTGGATAAAAAGAGGTCCGCTTCTCATGCATGAGGATGCGGGTTCGAAACCTACCAACGGCAAGTACCAATGTGACGTTTCCGAGTTTTATATGCTTTCTTATACTATTTAGACACCACTGACAAACGGTGAAGGAAAACATCGTGAGGAAACCTGGACTTATAATTTCTTTAAATTTAAAGTTAAATTTAAGTTTGTAATCACCAACCCGCAATGAGCAAGCGTGGTGATTAATGCTCAAACCTACTCCATGTGAGAAGAGACTTTGCTCAGCAGTGGGCATTTAATGGCTGTTGACGATGAAAAAGAACTTTCAGTAATACCAGACCATAATGTACACATGTTCCAAAACTCATCCTGATCTCTCCATCCATGTTCACGTGAAAGAGTAACAAACACACACACACACATCCACATACCTACATCCTCACATACTTTAGTAGGTTTAGTAGGTAGTACGATAGTAAGATAGGAGAATATTAGTAAACGAACTTATTAAAATTTTCAATAACTACTCTGTAATTATACTCAAAATCAAGACGATCGATGAAACAAAGTTTTCTGTACTCATAAAACTTTACATGATAACGCGTGCTGGCAACATTTAAATTTGCATAGTTGTAAAGTGGCATTAACGCCGCCATGACAGCAGAGCTTATCGAATGCGGCCGGATGGTTTATAACTTCCGTTTCCGAGCAAAATGGCGGATTCACGTCTCTGGTTGGCAGTGCTAGCATGGACGCTAGATTTTTGGCGGGCTTACAATTTTGGAGATTATATTCATTATGTAAACATTAAAGTGTTATTCAATGAAATATTTATAATAGCAATACTTGGCTGGGCTGTACTATTAACTACTTAGGCCACACTTACATTGTGTCATACTGTTCACACGTAGATGCATACCAAAATGTTTAGAGGCTGATTAAACCTAGAGAGTGCCGTAGGCAAGCACCTCATTAATAGACATCCCTAACAGGCAGGGCCATTGGGCACGCGCATCTAGCGGCGCGATGCCTCTCTGTAACCTAATGCCCTTGCATAGTTGGCCTATGATTGGCCTGGACAGGTGGCTTATTCTTGAATTCAATTCCAATCGATCGAAATTTCGTATTTTTGACTTGCAATACTAGCGCCCATTGCATTGGTGTTGCGTGGACATCGAATGAACTAAATGGTAAATATTGAGTTTGGCTTTATATACGGTACTCTGAATGCTTTTGTAATAGCTACGATTGTGGTTGTATAGTTTTGACATTGAATAATTATTGAAATTTTATTGGATTGGAATTGCATTGACATTAATATTGGTTTCTAGAGTAAGCTAAGCACCCTGCTCTGTTTATACCATGAATCGCTAAATAAGCAGACGGATCACCAGATAGTAAACAATCTATGCCGCTAATGGACACCTGCAATTAGAGAAAGCATTTTCTTATTTATTTTTTATTATTACTTTTTTTAATACGAGACAAACGAGCAGATGGAGCATCTGATTATCGGATTTATTCGGATAAACACTCAGTAATTATTATCCGTTTTTACTCAAGTATTTGTCTAAAACAGTGGATAATTATAATTATATTGTAAATAAATGATAAAACAAAAAAAAAACACTCATAAAATACGGAGGTAGGTATAATAAATGAGATATTTATGTTTTTGTACTAGTTTTATTTTATTAAGTATGCACTAAAATCATCGTTACAAACACTTATGACGTGAATAATTATTTGTTTGCACGTATTTTATTCAGCCATAGGATTAATTTACAGTGCCATCTATTTTCCATATATAGAACTTATAGCTTCAAACTTTGCTAAGAGGTGGCGGTACTTGTATTGAATTTGAGGAGGAAGAAAATCCTAAGCTCGTAAAAAAGCTTTTTAACGACGCTTTTAAAATTAGCATTGGTATAATATATGCATGTAATTTAATTTTTAACGGTCATTGGCCAACGTTGAAAATGCAACACTGCTCGACAAAAGCGTATTAAAGCGCTGAACGTATGAATATAATAGGAATTTTGAGGGAGTATGAAAATTAAAAACCTATTTAGTCCGTCAATTCGATAATAATAAATATTAGACTTGTATTTGTTTATTTCGTCATACAAGGTAACAATACCTATACCTACATTATTATATTCCGAAAATCACGAATCCGCTAGTTGATCATAAATATAATTTAATTGAGAACGACGACGATTTACTTACTTACAATGGCTGAGAAAAGCCTGAGTACCAACGGGACTCTTATTAATCAGCAGCGCGTGCTCCGCGGCGACGTTCCTCAACGTCGCAAGATTCGCCTGAGATCTCCAGGCAGCGTAAGCGCGGACGGCAAGCAAGAGAAATTCGCCGCCCATATCTGCGACACCGTTTGCTCACCATCAGGTGATCGAGGTCTGCTCGTTTGCCGCTACATTGCCCACTCCATAAAAAAATTGCATATCCATAAAAGCAAAGGTAAGTCGTTAGGGGATTATTATCAGCAAATTGCACAAAAAATAGGTCGAACCCGTTACCAAAACTGTTATCATGAGGTTCATTCAGAATATATTAATGCCTGCGTTCGCATCTAGCCTCCGCGATCACATTACCAGTGGTATCGCGCGCTCACCGCACTTTATGCCTTCCGTTTCCTATACAGCTCACCACACATCCAGATGTACCTTAAATACCCTTTTAAAAATCATTTTTAGCCAACATCTACGTGTTATCCGAATAACGTATGGAAGTAAATGTACCTTTATATTATGTGTGTGTTTCCCACCTGTGTCTAGGACTAGGGAATAACACATTTGATGGACTGGCGATGTGATAAATCTGAACCGTTGTAGTCTGGTGCGATCTCCAACCTACCCGCCAAGCGTGGATACTATGGGTAATTCTCTTATGTAGAGGAGGTACCTACCAGTACAGTAGTGGACTCTCAAGGACTCTCAACGACTGTTGAAGGCGATATTATTGTTACATATTTTTAAAGCCAAGTTTTTTATTAATGACGAATCGATATCGAGCCAAAAGAGTAAAGGGTAACCAAAAATCCAAAAAATAGTTTTGGTTTCAACTTCGCAAAAAAATATTGTTTGACTGCTGAAGAAGAGCTCAAAACTTCAACGCTGACAAACTCGAAGAGGTAGCAGAAATACATAGATGGCACGTAAAGCCTAAACCTACATTAAATATTGTTTCAAAACATTCTCGAGACGATTAATTGTAGTGAAATCAAGCGTGAACCATGTCGAATGTGTGAACTAGCTACAGAGCCTCTCAGTAACTCCAAACAGCGATGCCCAAATGAGTTTGTGTAACTTACTGGTACTCATTACGTATAGTAATGACCATTGAGATCGCTTCAGTTGATTTCAAATCGAGATAAATAGGTACTTCTAATATCAAAGTGGAGTAATTTATATTCGTTTAATATTTTAATTTATTGTATGTGCGTTTAAGAAGAGTAAAATACAATAATTGTCGCCACCCCTATTCTTCTCGCGGGCACATATCGTTGACTAAGGAACATTATATAACACTACGGCTTTTATCCCCGAAGGGGTAGGCAGAGGTGCACATTATGGCACTTAATGTCACTGTACAATATAACCCCTAGTTTTCACTATTTATGTTATGAGTCCCATGTAAAAAATAGGGTGTGATCCTATTACATATACCGGGCACATTTCCAGACTCCATGCTACATCTGAGACATTTTTTAAAAACCTAGTGGTACTTTGCCTGACCCGGGAATCGAACCCGAGACCCCTTGCCCGGCAATCGCACTTGCGACCACTCGGCCAAAGAGGCAGTCTTGACTAAGGGACTACATATTTAATAGCGATCGGCAGCAACGTTCTACTCACTTGCTGAGCGTGGAGAACTGGAGATTATGACAAACCTCTCTTCTGTAGAGGAGTCTTATAGTCCGGCGGTGGATTTTCGTAAAATCATATGAGGCGTGCACAAATGCACGTATGAAACATACCTAAAGAAATATATACGCTAATGTTTTTTTAGGGCTAAGCCGGTAAACAGATCAGATGGATCACCTGATGGTAAGCAATCGGCTTCGCCCATGGACACCTGGAACACCAGAGGCGTTTCAAGTGCGTTACTGGCCTTCTGGGATTAGGAATTTGACGATTGTTGGGGACTCAGGGATTGGGAAAGGGGGGAGGGGTAATTGGGCCTCCGGTAACCTCACTCACGCAACGAAACCCAACGCAAGCGATGTTTCACGTCAGTCTTTTGTGAGGACGTGGTATCACTCCAGTCGAGCCAACCCATTCGTGCCGAAGCATGGCTCTCCCACACTTGTGAATGTAGATTCTATTTTTTTTTATGGAATAGGAGGCAAACAAGCCGACGGATAAGCTGATGGTAAGCGATCAGCGCCGCCCATGGACACCCGCAGCACCAGAGGAATCATAGGTTGGCGACTTTTTAAAAAGGAATACACTCATTTCTTGAAGGTTTGATTTCATCGAAAACCGTGATAACGTATTATAAGGTAATGAGTTAATGATGACAGATTTAATTGCTATGGCTATCACAGAGAGTTAGACACGTAATAGACGTTGTTAACTTGAATCAACGCCAATGTACAAGATTCCTGAAGTTTGTTCATTAAACGGTCCATGCTGACCTGTAGCCCAATGTGAAAAGTTTAATTGTGCCAAGTGTGCCTGACTGCGTTATAATGTAAGCAAGATGGCCGCCGACTCTTTATTCATAAACGTTTTTCAGATATTAACGACAGATTTTTTTTTATAAGCTTTTATTTTTCTTGTACCTTTATATGTATGTATGTGTGTGATATCAGATATCAAATATCAAAGTCAAAGTCAAAGATCTGTATTGTGAGACAGTTGAGAGACAAAGGTTGTTCTAAAGGTGGTTGTGTTCAGGCACTGCTCCACCGTGTTAGGCATACAATAGTATGTGACAAAGCATATAAATTGCAGTAGCTGTACATTACAATATTAAATAGGATATCTTCAACCTATAGAGCTGGATTGTTCACAGCTGAATTTACTGTCTCCCGTACAGAAATCTAGTTACTTGTCGACTTTTCCTAACGCCTTTTACCCTATGGCGGCCGAAATAAATAACCGATTACAATCCAAAATCTCTGAATTGTAATCGATTTAAAAAAAAGAATGAGGTTCTTAATTTGACCATTGATTTATTCTTTTTATTTTTATTTTTTTATTTTTTTTATTTATATTATTTATATTTAAAAAAAAAAAAAAGATTCACTTATGACATATCCATAAAGGCTAAACCCAATGCGATATTCTAGCAAATATTAAAATAACAATAATAATCAAAATATACAACATGTTACTTAAATAACGCACACCCTGAAAATAGTTTGTTCAGAATCGTTATCTAAATCGATTTATATAATTTTTAGTATAGGTAATTTTTTATCCCAAAAACAATTAAAACTACGGAAATTATTGTCTTAATAACCCTATATTGTTAAAACAAAACGAAATGGACCGTAAGTCAAAGCAATAAGACTTTTAAAATCGCAGTTTTATTTGTATTCATACAAATTCGATCATTCAATACAAAATAAGGAAAAATAAACCTTATGACAAGACCAGTAAGGATGCATATATATGTTAAATTAAAAATTTAGTGTATGTATTATGATTATAACATAATATTCTAATTGGGATGTTTGAGGGTGTGCGTTAATTACTTTACATGTTGTATAAACAAGAAATATAATAAAATTAATTCTATATATGTATATACTTGTGTACGTGTGTATATTTGTGCGCGATGATCTCGCGATAGACTGAACCGAGTTTGATGCAGATTTCAGAAAGTGTATTACACTTAGGTTTAAGTTTATGAATTAACCGACCTCTAACAGCGGGGGTTGAAGTCGGTTTAATTAAACGTGGTTAATGAAACAAATATTGAGACTTCGCCCCACTGGACACGACCTAACAGCTAACAGCTTGCCGCTCGCGGGGTTGCCCAGCTAGAGCGCGGCTCCTGGCGGCGCGGCGCCACTCACTGGTCACGACCGCGTGCCGCTAACAGCTTGCCGCTCGCGGGGTTGCCCAGCTAGAGCGCGGCTCCTGGCGGCGCGGCGCCACTCACTGGTCACGACCGCGTGCCGCTAACAGCTTGCCGCTCGCGGGGTTGCCCAGCTAGAGCGCGGCTCCTGGCGGCGCGGCGCCACTCACTGGTCACGACCGCGTGCCGCTAACAGCTTGCCGCTCGCGGGGTTGCCCAGCTAGAGCGCGGCTCCTGGCGGCGCGGCGCCACTCACTGGTCACGACCGCGTGCCGCTAACAGCTTGCCGCTCGCGGGGTTGCCCAGCTAGAGCGCGGCTCCTGGCGGCGCGGCGCCACTCACTGGTCACGACCGCGTGCCGCTAACAGCTTGCCGCTCGCGGGGTTGCCCAGCTAGAGCGCGGCTCCTGGCGGCGCGGCGCCACTCACTGGTCACGACCGCGTGCCGCTAACAGCTTGCCGCTCGCGGGGTTGCCCAGCTAGAGCGCGGCTCCTGGCGGCGCGGCGCCACTCACTGGTCACGACCGCGTGCCGCTAACAGCTTGCCGCTCGCGGGGTTGCCCAGCTAGAGCGCGGCTCCTGGCGGCGCGGCGCCACTCACTGGTCACGACCGCGTGCCGCTAACAGCTTGCCGCTCGCGGGGTTGCCCAGCTAGAGCGCGGCTCCTGGCGGCGCGGCGCCACTCACTGGTCACGACCGCGTGCCGCTAACAGCTTGCCGCTCGCGGGGTTGCCCAGCTAGAGCGCGGCTCCTGGCGGCGCGGCGCCACTCACTGGTCACGACCGCGTGCCGCTAACAGCTTGCCGCTCGCGGGGTTGCCCAGCTAGAGCGCGGCTCCTGGCGGCGCGGCGCCACTCACTGGTCACGACCGCGTGCCGCTAACAGCTTGCCGCTCGCGAGGTTGCCCGGCTAGAGCGCGGCTCCTGGCGGCGCGGCGCCACTCACTCACACTAACAGCTTGCTGCTCGCGGGGTTGCCCGGCTAGAGCGCGACTCATAATGGCGAAAACCACCAGACACGACTCTTCATCGGGCCTCGCAAGAGGCCCAACTACTCCAACCCCTTGCCGGCTGTTACAGGCAGCGTCTGATAGCACCGATACAGGCGTCTGATCTGCAGAAATGTATTTATTTATAACTATGGTTGGCGCAGTGATTCGGCGATCAGCTGCTACACAACGTGTCGCGAGTTTAAAGTCCTGAACGGAACAAGTAAGTGCATAAAGGTATGCTATTTAAATATTGATCATAAAGGTGCTCCCACACAGCAGTTACATGACATTAGAGACTGACTTAACATATAACAAGAGCTAGTAGTAACTTGACATGTTGTAGTAGAGTATGTTACACGATGATATCGTGTTACATAATGTTGTATACCGTTATATAACTGCTGTGTGGGAGCACCTTGACAGCCTTTTATTTTGTACCCCCCCTTGAATTTGTTACAATAACACCTAACATACTCACTTAAAAAAAATGTTTTTTATTCATATTAACTTGTGTTTTTTCAAAGTCAAAACATTTATTAAAACTAAACAAAGTATACAAAAAGTAGGTACGTTATATAGGTACTTTTGTATAATTTGTGTACCTCTATATATTTTGTATAAATGTCAAAACATATAGAATATTCCGTCAGACTGTCTCTCAATAGAGATAGGTGCTTATTCTACCTCTATAATGTTCATAGATTCCTATGGAGAAGAACGAGCAAGAAACTCCATCGTTACTCTTAATACTGGGTACATAGTACGGAATATCTATAATGTATGCACATTGCATATTTTAATGAGTATTCATGATCATATTTCTACCGGTCCACTATTTATTTATGCAGGCATATTTCGCTATGTGACGATACCTACCTACAAACAAATTCACGCAAGCTATAGTCAGTCCCTTACAAACCGCGCGCGAAGGAGGTCGTGTCGCTCTCCACGAAGGTACTACGAAAATATATCACTCGGAGTGCAAACTAAAAAAAAAACTTAAAATAGTGTTGTGTTTAATAAAAAATTAAATAAATTTCTTTTTTAAAAAAGTTGTGTTCTTATGGTGTCTACATATTTATTTTAACGTGAAAAATTTAAGTGAGTGTTTAAAATATAAGTAATAAGTGCTTCTGAGTTAGTGTTTATGTGTCAGTTATTGAATTAGTGTGTTTAAAAATTAAGGTGAGTGGTTTTTTATGGTACTAGGTTTACTAATGGGTGGTTAGTGGACAATTATGTTTATTTAATATGCACATACGATTAGCATACAGTTGGTTCTGGTGTAGTTTCGGGTGTTTTTATGTGAGGTCATTCATTTCCTAAAGTGACACCAATTAGGTACATTTGACATTAATATTTGTTACTCAATTAAAAGATTAAGATGTAATTATAAAGGTAAATAAAATAAATGTAATGTGAAAAAATCTTACGCCTGTATACTGAAAGGCTACTAAATTTTAATTGCCTACTTAAATATAGTCCCATTGCTGTCATTTTACGAAGAATTTGTAATGACACAACTATATTAAAGCGCGACTTAGAATTGGATACCCTTTCAGTATTCTAGTCAGTTCGCATAATTATGTAGGTAATATAAAAGATAAATATGTACGTACATGATTTGATAAATTTTATGAATATTGACAAAGTACTTACTTAATAACGAATCGGTCTTCAAAACAGTATTTGCTTTTTTGGCAAAAAAAACCGATAAGTTTCTGTAGTTTTCCTAAAACAATATTACAGTTCCTTTAATGATATTTCATCATTTTTAGCCTGTTGGCCATTGATAACCTGTGACTGTGATATCACAGTAAACAGCTAAGAGCGTATGCCATAATCTCCTTACTTGCCAGGCAGGTTAGAGATCGCTGTTAAAAAAATGTCTAGGTTTATCAGAAAGCAATATTGCCCGACCTTTACCAAATGTGTACTGACACAGTGAGATTTGTTTTTATCTATTTATTCATTATTTTACGTACACAATTTGATTATGGCACATAAGGCGAACTTAATGCTATATGGCATTTTCTACCAGTCAACCTTAGGGTTTAAGTAGAAAATCTTCAAAAAATAAGGTACGGAGAATAAACTACCAGCAAAGAGAGAAAGAGAAAAAATGGTAATTTAAATAATATAGCTATACATATTTATTTTTATATCACAAAGGTATAAGTATCTTATAATCTAAGCCCCACAAAAACGTTGCAAAGTTTTGATTGTTGGGTCAACGAGTCTCTAGGCATTACAATTAAATGTACTTATAATTAAATATTATATCGGTGTTGTAACCAGTAGTAAGATATTTCCAAAAACTATACCTTTAATTTACGCTTAAACCCATTTGAATTTATTTCACTCTTTATGTGCGCCGGCAGACTATTCAATACATTATTTTAATTCAAGAAAATTCTCTCTGAGGAATGTATGAAAATACCTATTATATTTCGACTTTATTTTTGGTCTTATGTAAAGATAATATTCAAGCCGATGTCATTCTCCAGCCATTAAAAAATATTTGCATGATAAAAATGAAAGTTAAAACAGTATGTATCATAGATGTAGGAGAAATAGTTCTTATTTTTATCAAACTTAAAGAGCATATTCGAATATCATGTCAGAATATTAGGAAAGTACATTATACAATAGAGGTACACATATTTTTTTTTGTTACACATAATACCCCCTTTTTTTAAGGGGTGAAAATCATCGAATGTCTGCTCCCGCCTGAGTGAGGCGGCAGGGAGTGTCAGACTCTTACTGACTAAAAATAACCCCGTTCCTTCTCCTGCACTTCGAGCCGGAACCCCGGTTACCCGTTAGGTTCTCCACGACTCCGAAAATACCCCTAGGTTTTTATTTTCAACCCGTTGCCCGGCCATCAGTTTATGAAATAAAAATAAGTTTAATATTGGTTCGTATAATAACGTTATTTTTGTGCGTCGCGTGACGTCATACAACGCCTTGTAGCATGCAACGCCACAATATGCAGATACCACAACTACTATAACACTTTTCAAATAGTTACTTTTGTTTACAAAATAAATGTAATATACGACATAACATCACGCCTTTTCTCCCCGAAGGGGTAGGCAGAGGTGCACATTACGGCACCTTAAGCCACTATACAATGTAACACCCACTTTTCACTATTTATGTTAAGAGTCCCATGTAATAGGGGGTGAGCCTGTTATTGTCTATGCACTCTACCTCTATACTATATTAGAGGTAATTAAAATGATTTGCTCAAGTCTGAAACTGTATTTTAAAAGACTCGTATATTACATATATATTCTATGAAATATACTCGTATATGTATAATATGTAATATTATATATTATTACTGGGTTTTTAAAATCTCAGTAGTAGCACGGAGTCTGGAAATGTGCCCGGTATATGGCAATAGGCTAACCCCCTATTACATGGGACTCATAACATAAATAGTGAAAAGTGGGTGTTACATTGTACAGTAGCATAATGTGCACCTCTGCCTACCCCTTCGGGGATAAAAGGCGTGACGTTCTGTTATGAATCTATCTTTAATAATCACACGAATATTGTACTGAATTAATCTTCAGCGATTTGGTTTGGAATCACCGAGGCGTAATTCGATTATTCCAATGTTTCGAAAACAACTACCGACATTTCCATTTGATTCGAATTGTAATATAATAACATTATTTTAGTACGTTTGTAAATGATTATGAATCACTCTTTGAACACTATGAACAAATTGATAATGCCAGTCCTCTTATTAGTATTTGGGGTAAGCAGTGCACAATATGTTAGTAGCATTTTGTAACTGTAATTTATGCGATGAAAGTATTTTAGGTTTTATGTACCTCTAAAATCTTAGTAATATCATGGAGTCTGAAATTCTAAAGTCAGAAAAAAAAGAACATCTTACAGTCTAACATGGTGCTCACATATGCATACTGACAATCCATAAAATATGAGCTTCTATAAAGAAACAAATGATCGATGCCATAGTAAAACTAGATTTTCTACATTAGAATGAAAGTATTAAATTACCTATTATTGGAATCTGAGTAATTACTGACAACATTCGAGTATTGTCCAGTGAATAATATACCCGGTAAATGATAATAATAAGTTTGACAGCTGGACACAAAACAGAACTTTAGAAATGCAGTAGATACTATGTGACATTTAATAAGCATCTATCTTATTTAAAGATGTGTCAAAGATGCAATCTACAACTTTTTTTTTATAATGAAATCATGCAGTGAAATGGTTCTTACTCGCAAAAATCGATAGGTGTTCCCGTAATTCGATCATTAGCGGCACAATATCGGCTCGTTTCACACGAGGTGCTGAATTCGGGAAATACCAAAACTTTAGACACCATACAAAACATTTTCGTATTTGCCAATAATATCGGCGTGTAATGTTCGAATCGCGTGACGATATCGCAACGATTCTATACGAAGTTCGTATAAACTTGGAAAGTTTTCACCTTGTGTGTTTCGAGGGATTGTGGTACAAAACTTATATTTTACTGTCTTTTCATTTTAAGCTGCGATTGTTTGGAGGTGGTATTATTTTCATTTGTTAATGGTAACTACATACAGTGTGGGTCGTGGTCCGTAGAGCAGGTACGTCGTAAAATAGGCGTAGGTACCTTTTATCAAACTCCATATACTAATTAAGTTAATAACTGGTGCAAGCGTGTGTTACATTTAATAGTTGATATGTTGCATATTAGGGCACCAGAGAAACTAATGTTACTAACACATATTTATTCAACAGTTTGTCGATTTAAGCACGAACTGTGCAAGCTACAAAGTGAGGATCATAGACAAACTGTAAACTGTCATTTAATTTGTCATTTATCGTGCGACCAGTGTAGGGTAAACACGTAACGCTTGCGGTACAGTACCGAAATAATTAGTACCTATTTACGAACACAACATATGTTTTATACGTTTGTTTAAGGTGAATGTTCGAAGGTAGCACAGCTCGATATCAAATAGAATATATATTCGCGATAGTTAAATGTATGTGTTTACACAGTTATATTTGTTATAGCCATACACATAGCTCCGGAATAGGGATGATGACGGGGTATGAAAATTAAAAATGTAATTAGTCCGTCAGTTAGGTAATGAAAAAAATATTAGACACGTATTTTTTTATTTTGTCGTATAAAATAATGATACTTAGATATAACGAATCAAAATTTATTAGTTGGGGGCTAAAATGTCATTTCTACGTATAAAATGTACACAGAAGTGACGTCACGCGACATTTCAAATCAATATAATATCGTCGATAGTATTCGTTTCTGTAAGAAAATAAAAAATACGTGTCTAATGGTTTAAAATAATTTATCAGATGGACATTAAAATAAAAATTAGGCATCTAAAATGGTACATTGTAGAAGTTTCCAATTGTTTACAATAAGTTGTCGGAAAACGTAAACGTCAAATAGGTATTTTCTCGATAGACTAACCAATAATAGGTACGTCGAGTCCCGAGACAAAAGAACTTTGAAAATATTCTTAACACGGTCTTATTTGTCAGTTCAATAGACAACACTACCTGTGGGACTATTTTGAAATAAGAGTAAATAGAAATAGTAGGAACCATGGATTATGAACGTTATTTATTATTAGAAAAGATTGAATTTACGAATGGTTTAATAAACGTATCTGTAGACAGAGGTATACAATACACCAAACGTTTGTATTAATGCTATCATTACATATTTTTATTGACTACTAGCGGACCCGATAGACTTCGTCCTGACAAAAACAAAAAAAAAATGTTCGAGTTTTTCTCGCCGTGAAAATCATCCTTGAATTCCAACGAACATTTAAAAAAAAATAGCCAAATTGGTGCAGGCGTTGTTGAGGTTTGCGCTTACCGCATTTTGCGATTCATTTTTATATTACAGACAAGGTATTATAGACATCTATGACAAGGATTGGCCGCAATAAACTGTACATAGAGAGGAGTGGAAGGAGGATAGGGAGGCCTTTGCTCTGTAGTGAGACGATTATGGCCGAAAATAAAGTAATTAAAAAAGGTATTATAGAAATAGATTGTGTCCCATTACTGATACTGAGTATTTAACAAAATTAACCTTTCATTCGTATACCGAGGGTCTATTTATAGTTGTACGCTACACTGTTCTCACAATACATATTTGAATTAAATAA